GTAAGATTTCTGCACTTTACAGTATGTATTATGCTCCAGTAAAGAAGTTTACTTAATAAAAAGGTAAACGTTTCAAAACCGAAGGACATTGGAAAAAGTCAGGATAGAGTGAAGGGGCATGAAATGTAAGCCACCTCTGGCCCTTCCAACAGAAGACTTTATGCCAGATGAAGGTTCCAGCTGAGAGCCCTGGAGAGTGGGTGGCACCACGAAGAGAGTGGGAAGCAAGAAAAGGGGATTGATGCCAGGCAGTTCTTGGTGATGAGGCATAATTGACTGTAAAAAGTCCATGTAAATAGACACTTGGAATGGCACACATGCTGCTCCTCCCTTCAAGGGATGATTGGCTTGCCCTCTCCTTGAATCTAGGTCAGCCTTGTGATTTACTTGACCAAACAGAATGCAGAAAAAGTGGCATTCTAGGGCTTCTGACGCTTGGACACTCCCTCAAAACCCAGCCACCATGCTGAGAGAAACCCAAGGCCACATCCAGTGTCAACTGCCAGTCATGTGAGCAAGCCATCTTGACACGAAGCCAGTCGGGCCTTCAGATAGTTGACTGCAGACCCAGCTGATATCCACCTGCAATGACATGAGTGTCCTTAAGCAAGAACTTGCCAGCTAAGCCCCGTCACCCATAGAACCACAAGAAATAGTAAGTTGCTGTTTTAAGCCACTAAGATTGGGGGTGACCTGTTACGTAGCAGTAGATAACAGCCACCATGGGATGCCTCCAATAGCTTCTTAAGGTGAATCTACCAAACTTTTCTCCTGATCTTACATGTGACTGCAATGTTGGAATTCCTTGAAGGTGATGGGTGAACACAGAAGTGTGTCTCAACCCAGGAGGTATCTGTGATAGCAAGACCAAGCATGACGATCTGGGGCCACTCAGTTAAATGGAGGATCTCAAACCACCTCACAGGGGTGTTGTGATGATTCAAAGAAGGGCCTGGCAGATAGTGGGTTCTCCCTAAAACATTAGTGGTAATTCACGATGTGGGTCACCAGTTAAGATGTGTTTGGCTGCACCTAAGAGGACTCAAATCAAAAGTGCTTGAATAAAAAAGGGTTGTTAAATTCAAACATTGAAAGGATTTTAAATTAGCCTATCTAATAAAAGAGAAACATGGTAATTAGCCGTACGTCCGCTACCCTTCCCATTGGCTAATCAGGGTGATATGCAAATTAAGTGCCAGCCAAATTAGTGGCCGGCAGCCAGGCAGATTGAAGCGAACATGAGGCTAGCTTGCTTCAGTGACGGAGGACACCAATGTTCCCCGCCTGCTGCTGCCGGCCTCTGAGCTTGCAATTTGAAACATTGTTACAAATATAGAAGCTAAACAAAACCCCAGAAACCTGCTTTCAGCCAGCTGGGATCTCAGAGCTGGAGTTGAAACAGGGTTTCGATTAGAGAACACAAACAAACCAGATACCTGCTTTTAGCAGCAGAGGCCTCATAAGCTGGAGTCAGAGCTAAAGCTGGCCCAGATTAAAAAAGAAAAAAAGGAGCAGTTGGGAGTTTCAGTCACCCGCCAGCATGAAAACAGCCCTCAGCCCCTCACCCAGGCTGGCTAGGCACCCCAGTGGGGACCCGCACCCTGATCCAGGACACCCTTCAGGGGAAACCAGCCGGCCCCCACCCGTGCACCAGGCCTCTATGCTATATAGTAAAAGGGCAATATGCCTCCCAGCACCGGGATCAGTGTGACAGGGGCCAGTGCTCAAACCCCCTGATCACCCTGCGGCTCTGTGTGTGACAGGGTGCGGCACCCCCTCCCCCTCCACGGGCCCTACTGTGTGTGTGATGGGGTAGAGCCATAACCTCCCCATCGGCCCAGCCCTGAGTGTGACAGGGTGCGGCGCCCCATAATTAAGTAAGAACTTTCAACTTTTCCCTTCAAGGAAGTACTTTACAGCTTCTCTTTGGTATATATGAATTGCCAGCATCACTATTCTTGTGCTTTGGGTCCTCATAGCTATGCCATCATCAGGGAAGGTTGATGTGATAGAGAAAGAGACAGGACATATGCACATTGCAAACCCAGGATTCAGGTAATGTGGTCCTTCCATCTTGCTTGCATTTTATCATAAACTAGAGGCCTGATGCATAAAATTCTTGCAAGAGTAGGCCTTCTTCCCCTGGCTGCTGGCACTGGTTCCCTCTGGCACCTGGAACCCAGGCTTTCCTTGCAGCCCCAGCTTTGTCCGACGGTTGTCCAGAAGGACGTCCGTTCTAATTAACATATGTGTTTTTATTATTATAAATGTGTTAACTAAACTAACTCCTTTCCCTTGCTTCTCATTGTATTTTTACTTAATCTATCTATATATATAAAAGGCTAATATGCAAAGTGTCACTTCAGGAATTCAACTGGGAGACCAGGAGTTCAATCACTTGCTATGACATGCACTGACCACCAGGGGGTAGCACGGAATGAAGGAAGGCCCTGGTTGGCAGCTGGCAGCTGGGGAAGGAAGACCCTGGCTGGCAGCCAGAAGGCCCCGATCAGCCCTGATCACCGGCCAGGCCTAGGGACCCTACCTGTGCACAAATTTTGTGCACTGAGCCTCTAGTATTTAATCGAAGTTTTCTTAAAAATACATATATTTATTGAGTGCCAACTAATTGTCAGGCACAGTTCTAGGATCTGGAGATATAGCAAAGAAAACAAAGTCCTGTAGGTGGCACAGTGACATCAAGAATTTAGGTCCTTTTCCTTTTCTGCCCTGCCATCCTCAGCATGACAGCTGAGTCACCAGATGGTGGCTCTGCCCCCAGTGTTACCTTCTTAAAAGCATACCCAGAGGCAGAGCAAGTTTGTTCTGGCCCATCTCTCTCGATTTAATTCAGCTTATAATTTACATGCAATAAAATATACCCATTTGCAGTGTACAATCAATAAATCCCAAAAGGTTCCCTTACCTGTTGGTATTTTAAGGTGTAATTTTATCACATACTAGAGGCCCAGTGCATGAAATTTGTGCACAGGTAGGGTCCCTAGGCCTGGCCGGCAATCAGGGCTGATCTGCGGGGTGACCGGCAGGACGATCAGGGCCCCCCCCTGCTGACACCTGCCTTGGCTGGCCTAGCGCCGCCCGCTTGCTGGGCCCGCCCCCTGCTGCCGCCCCAGCCAGTCAGGGCCTGCAGCTGGGGGCAGCTCCTGTGTTGAGCATCTTCCCCCTGGTGGTCAGTGCGTGTCATAGCAATCAGTCGTTCCGCCGGTCGATTTGCATATTAGGCTTTTATTATATAGGACGTTTGCATGCCTAAACAATGTTTGCTTGTGCTTGGTTTTGAGCTTTGTAAAAAGTATCATCCTATATGGAGTCTTCTGAAGAAGGGAAATCTCAGAATGGGAATATCAAAATCTGTGTTGGGCTAACAGCTGATATAAATTAACACCAAAAATAAATAAATAAATAAATAAATATATCCTATCTAATAAAAGAGAAACATGGTAATTGGCATACGACCGCTACCCTTCCCATTGGCTAATCAGGGAAATATGCAAATTAACTGCAGCCAAGATGGCGGCCGGCAGCCAGGCAGCTTGAAACTAACATGAGGCTTGCTTGCTTCAGTGACGGAGAACGTTCCCTGCCTGCCACTGCAGGCCTCTGAACTGCAATTCTAAGCAACTATGTAACAAATATAGAAGCTAAACCAAACTCCAGAAACCGGCTTTAGTCCCGGGCTTAAGCCAGCAGGATCACAACATTGTAAACAATTGATTTTACAATGGGAATACACATTTTATCCAGTATTAAAAGTAAATTATTGAGATTATCTTGAAACCAATTGCAGTAATCCCAACATAAACGAAGTAGCATGGAAAAATCTTGTGTTCCAAAGGAGTCTGCTGTTCTGAGAACTAAGCAGTGTTCAATTGGACTCATCACTTATCTAGGCTTCAGACCTCTTACCCAAAATAACTTATTTTGATGAGCAATAACTTTCACAAAAGAAAATAAGTTCATTTCACTTGATTATCTGAAACTGCTAAACTTCTTGGAAGAAAAGAAATAAGAGCAGTGAGCAA